ACTGGCTGGAGTTCCTTTGTGCTGCTCTTCAGGCGCTCTCCTGCTGACCTGTGCTCCTTCTCCAGGCTCTGGGCATCTATTGCTGGCCCTGGCCTCAAACTGGTAGGAGTGGGATGGATTGAGGTTCCCCTCCCCCGGCATCTCTAGTTTAAAGCTCTCCTCACCAGCTTGGCAAGCCTATGACTGAAGATGCTCTTCCCCTCCTCTGACAGATAGACCCCATCAGCCCCCAGTAGACCAGGTTTCTCAAAGCGAGTCCCATGGTCTAAGTAACCAAACCCCTGGCTGCGGCACCAGTCCCGTAACCATTTGTTGACTCTCCAGATTCGACTGGCCCTTTCAAACCCCTTCCCTTTGACCACCAGGATTGATGAAAAAACTACCTGCACTCCTGAGTCCCTTACTGCCACTTCCAGGGCTCTGTAGTCCTTCTTGATAGTCCTCAGGCTGCTCCTGGCTGTGTCACTGGTGCCCACGTGAAACAGCAGCAGCAGATAACAGTCAGTGGACTGTACGAGGCTCGGTAGCCTCTCGGTGACATAATGGAGCTGTGCTGATTTATTTCACCTAGAACGTGTCCCAGCTCTTGGCAAACTGGGAAAGTTTTTGTACTACTGTTGGAGTTACAATTGTGGATGGAGCCTGAAAAAACAGAATATCTGATAGGCTGAAAAAAGTGGTCTCATACTTTCTCAGTCGCCTGATTACTCTGTAAGGTAGACCTGGACAATCTGTTTCATAGCAAGCTCCTCAGGGACACGTATGATAAGAAGAGCCTCATTGTACCATAGCAACAGCAGCCCCCACCTCACATTGTTTCACACTCTTAAAGACTGGAAAAAACAGAGTGATTCATGTTTTCTATGGGAAGAGATTAACATCAAAACCAATATGTAGGTCCCTTCCAATTCTCAAATGTCTGACCTTCTATGGGGATGTTTGAACACTGCACATACAGTCATACTGAGTCTGGATAAAATTAAGGAATCACAGGAATGTCTCAGATTGCAAAATCTCAGGGGGAAATGCTGAACTGTGTTGTCTGGTGATTTTAATGGGGGAAAATCCTAAAATCTCTCTGTAGTCATACAGAGGTACAGGTTGGTGTCTAGCTCTTGGCTAACCAAGGCTGGAGTCCAGGAAATATGCAATCCTCTTCCCGAGTCCCCTGGTAAGCTTGCTCTTCAGGCAGATTTACACAGGTACCACCAAGGTGGTGTTTGTTCACCTGCACTGAGGGATGTGGCTGTGCCCATGAGGCTGTGCAGACTCTTTGCCGCTGCTGTCTTCAGCTCAGGGCTGTGCCTGCCTCTCACTGGCTTTCATTCTTGCAGTGCACATAGCGCTGTCATAGGACTGGGAGTCTCCAAAGTGAGGTGGTGGCTGCTTTCTTTTGGAAAAGTTTATTCTATTCTGTGGTAGGCAGCAGCCTGGCTGCTACTGCACTTACTTTAGGCTCTTCGCAGTCCATTAGATTTCCCAAATGTCTCGCATACTTGTTTTACCAGATCATCCTGAGAGTTGCATGAAGACCATATAGGATATTTGTTGCTTCATTTGATCCATATCTCCTGTCAAGCCACTGGCCAGAGAATGCACCCCTATAACTAATACCCAAGCAGACAGTATTTCCTTATTATCAGGGCTGATACACTGTTGGCTTCCTGTCAGATATCCTGATTTGGAGGGGAAGACATAGGTCCTCCTGCACATAGATCTCTCAATCCTGTAGATAAAACCAAAAAAATCTGGAAACTCTGTAACCTGAGGGGGTTGAACTGTAAAGTTTCTCAACTACCAGGCTGCAGGCAGTTCAGAGTAAGGAAGACTACCTGTATTAAACTTTTTTCTTGGAAATATGTTCATGCTGTTGCAAGTACTATGAAAGCAGGAATTTCAGACTTGATTCAGATTATGAGCAATATAAAGAAAAGTGTTTACTAGGTGCTCTGGCAGGTCACATAGAAGCAGAACAATAGGTAATTTTGAAGAGTCTTAAATTAAGAACAGACTGTGTTCCTCCCATCTGACAGGCCTCTCATCTATTATTAGAACTACAGTGGTGTTGGCAGGAGTCAAGAAATACTTTCTCAGAAATGCAGATATTTTGTCATAATTTTGGCATCTCATGATTCCTAAGCATAAGTGTATGCTTATTTCAGGAGGAAATGCTGACATCCATTACCGGGAGTGGTATAAACCCTTAGTGTGGTTCTGGATCCTTGTTGGCCTTGCTTATTTTGCTGCTGTCCTGAGTATGATTGGAGACTGGTTAAGAGTCCTGTCCAAGAAGACAAAAGAAGAGGTATGACTAGTAATTTCTCAGTGGTTTGTCATTTTATAAGAGAGCTTTAAGTGCCTGATTTCTGCTTATCTAAAGAAGGATGCTCCTCTGCATGACCAATGCTCAATATTCCCCATGGTTTACTCCACTGGTTGCCTTTGGTATCCAGTTAGCTCTGATCTTTTATCTATCTCCTTCACAAAGGGAAGAAAAAAAGCAACTGAAGCAACCTAGGTTATTACACCTCTATCAGTACTACCAAATACACAGGACACATCAGTAGGATTATGGAATAAGAGAGGCCAGCCTTCACTCTGAAACTAGTTACAAAATTGTGATAAAAATTTCAGTGTTCTCTCTTTAAAACTTGGAGATGCATGGGTTTTGAAGACATTAGTTGGCTATCTTCATTATGAAACAAGAATCTGTCTTTAAACCAGTTTTATATTGAGTTTTCCCACCTTTCCCTATGCCAGGAAATATGGTTCTGAATAAAGGTTTAGATTCAGGCTCCTTACTGAGTACCATATTATTAAAAATTGAAGAAACTGAGTAGTCAGCATCAGGGAGAACATGATTAAATTCACTCAGAACATGCCCTGTGTGATACAAAGACAGTATTGCTAACGCTTCACTCAAATAAGGGTGGAAAATAGAAGGCAATTGCCATGACTCTAGAGCTGAAGCCTATTGTGGAGGATGTTAATAATATAATTTCAGTTTTTAAGGCTATCATCTCCTCCTGCATTACTAGCAAAGCTAACCTGGCAGGGTTAGCCAAAGAGCAGGCACAGACAAAGTTTGGCAGAGGGGTAGTGCTGTTTGTCATATATGAAGGCATCTGCGCTACCTGAGGCCCGGTGCATCCCCTGTGCACCTCCATTAATAAAGAGGGCTTCACAGAGAGTTTGGCTGTCAGGTTGATCATCAGCAGGCACCTATAGGTGGGAATCCGATCTCTCATGGTGGATGTTAGATGCCTGCTGCCACAAGTAATACAGTTCTAAATGGACACCTGCTCATCTGGCCTGAGGAACCAAAGATGACTTCCTTGTGGATCACTGAATGCAGAAACTGAGTTCTGGCTACAGCAGCCCAAGCAAACCGTTGACATTGGTGGGCTCCTGCGGACATCATACTCCTGAATCTGTTCTCCTTTAGCTGAACTTTGGAAAAGGCCTGTGTTGACTGAGATATTGCTTGGTCATTTACCTTTTTTCTCATTTCGGAAGAAATATTTATTCAATACAGCAGCCATGTAGGTGCTTTGTTCTTAGCCATTATTCTGCTCTCAGGTGCAAAAGGAGTAAAACAGAGCAAAACAGTGAGACATTTAAGGACGTGCTTATGGTGCCCAGACAGAATATTTGTTGAAAACTCCTCCAGCTGGCTTGAGAGGGTGGTATTCAGACAGTTATGCAATGGAAACTTCCGTTAAAGACAGCTACATTTGTCCCTGAGAATGAACCCTAGACTGGATCAGTCGGAGTTCCACTTGAAATTATCTAATCAATATTTCCAACGTTAATTGCTCTGTGGCTCTGTGGCACTGAACAGAACCCTCAGTGGGACTGAACAGCTCCATCCACGAACAATACAGGAAAATACATTACTGTATTGCTACATTGGTTGTTGTGCTGTTCTGAAGCATATTGGTATAACTATATGTGATTAATTTTGCCCACTCCTGACCATCTACCGCTGACATAAGTCAGGAATTTTGTTCTTAACCAAGAAGGGATTAGCATGAACACCACCCATCATGTAACACAGCTATAAAATGTGTGGGGTGCCAAATGTGAAATAGGCAGACAAGTTATATGCCACATAAACCATTAGCTAGTCACTAGTTGGGGTGTTTAGAGCTTGCCCGGTATAACCACTTTGTTGCTGAAGTTTGGGTCCAGATGGATGCACTGGAGCTGGGACTGGTCTCTGATTTTATGCTAGAGAAGAAAGTGCTTGTGCTGCTGTTCTATAGGAAAGACTGTCGCTTCATTTTGCTTTTCCTTTTTTTTTAAAATTTATTTCTCTTTCTTGTTGTGGTAAAGGTTGGAGAAATAAAAGCCCACGCAGCAGAGTGGAAAGCGAATGTGACGGCTGAGTTCAGAGAGACACGGAGGCGGCTCAGCGTGGAGATCCACGACAAACTTCAGCGGGCAGCCACCATCCGGAGCATGGAGCGCAGGCGCCTGGGCCTGGACCAGCGAGCCCACTCCTTAGACATGCTCTCTCCAGAGAAGCGTTCTGTCTTTACTGCCTTGGAAACAGGACGCTTCAAGGCCTCATCTCAGGAAAGCATCAACAACAGGCCTAACAACCTGCGCCTTAAAGGGTCAGATCAGCTCAACAAACATGGGCAGGGGGCATCTGAGGACAACATCATTAACAAGTTTGGATCGTCTGCTAAGATGACCAAAAGGAAAAACAAAGACCTCAAAAAGACCATCCCTGAGGATGTGCGTAAAATTTACGAGACCTTCCGAAACTACTCCTTGGATGAAGAAAAAAAGGAAGAGGAGACGGAGAAGATGTGTAATTCTGAGAACTCTTCTAGCACTGCAGTCCTGACCAACTGCATCCAGCAGCACTCAGACCTGGAGAATGGAATGATCCCCAATGAAACCAAAGAAAGGGAACATGAAAACAAAGCGTTACTTGAAGACAGAAATTAAATGTAAAAGATGCTTGACTTGAATTAACAATGTTAGTGTTTTTATATACATATATATATTGAGACACGTGCCTTATACAGACTCCTTATTCAGTCTGAATTATATAGCATCGAAGAATATTTCACTGTGCCATAAAGACTCAAGCTTGCTCTGCCAAAACAAACCAGGAACACAGCACTGCAGAATGGCAACAGAAAGCTGCACGCATGGAAATTTCAGCCTGTATAAGATTACCAGGGCAAGACACAAAGGAAGAGATTGAACCATGGCAATATCACCAGAGTGCTCCTACCATGGCATAATATTAGACAAAGGGCAGCTATGTAAAAAGAGCCTTTGAAAGGGATGAAAAGGAGTGTATCTTTGTAATGGAGTATGCATCCATAAAGCCTTCCCCTGGTGATTAAAAAGAGGAGAAATGATTGGAGTGAACTAGAAACTTTCAGTAAGGCTTAGTTTACGTTTTGGCACGTGATCCAAGCTAGATTTTTTTTTTTCCATTTTTGAATCAGATGCATTATCTTTCTAAACTCCAAAAGAATGTCCATAGACACAACCACCAGCTGGGTGCTGGTTTGAAAAATCAACACGGACATATTTAAGGGTCAGATTGCTCTTTTCATTAAAAAAAAAACCAACAAAAAACTCTGTGGGTATTTATTTTAACCAGTGACAAAAAAAAAAGGAAAAGAAACAAATGGATTTTTTTTCTCGTGTAGGAAATATTCAATGTGAAGTCACAGCAAGAAAGTGCATATGAAGAAAATGCAACATCTCATGCTATGTTGTTTAAAAGAAGAGAAACATTAATTTAATGATATTTGGCTAGGTGTATAAAACAGTGGGCCAACTGGTTTTTTTAAAAAGAATTTCTCATTCACACTTTCTACCACTGAAAAAAACCCTTCAATTTTAATGCTGTAACACTATGAAGACAGAAGGAAAGCTATAGCTTTTGCATGTCAGCAAACTGCTGTTATCTGTAGCTGAATCTGAATTTTTAAAAATAGACATAAGAGCATATACACAATTCAAATGAGGGCCAGGGCAACCATAGAATCTCAGGGCTCTCTGCCCCTTTTGCTGGGTTTGGGTTTAGACATAAGCTGCAGTCATAATCTCAGAAGAAAAAAGAAAAAAGAAATTTAGGAAAAGAGGTTGAGAAAAATATGGTGGTAATCTTTTAAGTGCTTATAGCTTTAAGTGCCATTAATGCTGTCATATTTTGTAACTTTTTAAACAAGTATTTTGAATTATTTGTTTTATTTCTTTTCAGGTCCTATTTTTGTTTGACATTTGCTATCTTTTTTCTTGATAAAATCTAAACATGAGCTCTCTGCATTTCTAGACTAAAGTGAAATGTAACCAAACTGGGCATTTTTTATAAATCTTTTGTGGTGCCTGGACATACGGATATAAGAAATACAAATGTCCCTAGACTTTACAGTAAATATTCAAAGAAATGGCTGCAAAACAATTAATGGGAATTGCAAAACGCACTAAATTTTTGCAGCCTCAGCCTGTGGGCTACTGTGTTTGCCATTGCAGATAGAAGATTTTGCATGCTGGAAATGAGATACACATGATTGCACCAGCGATGCTTTCCCTGCGCATTCACAAAGTCCTAAATATTCCTGCAATTCAGACTGCACCCTTATAGGTAAAGTAAGCATGGGTGTAGATGGCAGAGACATACCGCGTCTTACAAGCTAGTCAAACGGACAGACACTCGCAGGTCGTACAGACACAGACTTTTGGAATTGCCTGCCCATGTCTACATACACAGAAATGCACGCTTCATTTTCTGTGATAGTTTCTGAGATTTTACGCACAATCACCCAACTCAAAATCTAACTGGTCACCAGAATATATAATTGCCATGGCTATGAATAGAAGCATGGCAATGCAAATGCAAATTTGAGTATGCATATTTGCATATCTAATTGACTTGGCATGATTTGCGGGAGTGAGCCAAATTCCACTAGTGCAGAGGAGGAAAGAAGTTCTCGGTATGTTCTGTTTGCTGGTTTACTTCACTTGAAATAACATATCATCTTTCTAATTTCATTATCTGTCTGAAAATTAAGGATGAAAAAACAATGTTTGAAAAATTTCAGGTCATTTGGGATTGCTTTATCTCAATAAGATCCAACAGAGATTGAATTCTGCTTAGTTCACCAATGAATCTCTTAAGGTGCGGGGCTGCACTCCGACTTTAGCTTACTGGAGGCAGGGCGGTAAGCCCAGTCCCCAGGGAAGGTTTCATTTGACTCAAGAGCTGCCGTGGCTCCTGGAGGCTTTTGTGTCACGCAGCCCTGTGCTCAGCTTCACAATGATGCAGACGGCAGCTTGTGGCCACCCTCAGATCCCGTCCTCCTCAAGCCACAGGCAGACACCAGCAAGATGCAGGTCTGTTCAAGCATCAGAGTCCTTTAGCCCTCTTGTTGCTCCTGGTTTTGGGCAGGTCTGGGATGAAGTTCAGCCTCAAGTGCCACACGTGAGCAAATCTTCTGAAGTCTCACTCAGAAATACAGTGAATCATGTTGTGCTAATTCTGTAGTGCCAGGATGGATGAAGCATACCTGGATGTACTAAGGTTTTCTGTTGCTGAGATCTGGGGTTTTACTGTGGCCTGGTGGGAAGTTGGGAGTGAAAGCTACAATTTAGATTTGCATTGGAATTCCAGAAAAGGTTCAGAAGTGCTCAGACACGCGATTTGGGTCCTGGGAACGAAAGTACTGCCTGGTTACACCATCCTGCGCTTTGCTTGTATGAGGGATCAGGCACACAAAAGCATCTCACCTGACTCTGAAAGCATGTAATACATACAAAGTGTGCTAACAATTCTCCTTGGTTATGAAATACCAAAACCAGCATCATGCATGCAGTGTTATTTGTTCCTCAACTGAGTTCTCGCAAGAAATGCTTGCCTGTAATGGAAAAGTCCTGCAGCGATGCACAGGCAGCTGGAAGGATATGGGAGATGCATTTCCTGCATGTGAAATGTAAGGCTTAGTCATCACCAGAGCATTTCTGCTGATTAGGGTCAGGGAAAGCAAAAGTCTGTCTTGTAGGACTTGTCTGTGTGAGCAGAGAGTTGGACAACGGGCAAATCATGGAAAATAGGTCAACATGGACAAAGTGACTGAGGAGACGAAGCTTGGTGCTCAAATTCAGAACTGTTTGCTCTGATGGGATAGAAGGACAATGAAATCTTGCCATATTTTTAATCTCTCACTTCCTGAGTTCTCAGTATGTCCCCTGTCCAGATGCTAGCTGATGGTGTGTGTGTCACACTCTAGTTTCTACCTGGCCATGCCATGCAGGAATCCCTGGCTGACATTTTATCAGATATGTCTTCAGCAACTCCTGGTTTGGGATATGATAGTTTCAGGGACAAAGGGTGATGCTGAATAAACTCCCAGTGAGATACTGAACAGAGCATTTGATGACCTTTTACATGAAAGCAAAATGCTCTCTTTCATTCCTTTCCATTTCTGTGTCTGTGAAACTTGCTGAGAAAGCTGCCAGTCTCCCA